GACGGGCATGGCCAGCAGGGATGTTCCCGTGTCTACGATGGCCTGGCATCCTGAGGAACAGGCTGCTGGCGCCCCGCCAATGGAGACCCTGGAAAAAGGGATGCAGGGTGAGCTTGCTGAGATTGGTATTCCCCAAAAACACTGGTGGGGGAGCTTCCCGGGAATACCTGTCCATGGTGATCTGCCAGTAGGTCTCAGCAGAGAGCGGGATCCAGGAGATTCCTTTGGTGGTGTAATAGGGATCGATGGCACCGAACAGGACAAAGCTTCCAGCTTGGCCATCCCTGAAAAGTGGGATCCATCCAGGGATTTCCCACCGGGAAACCAGCACCAGCAGGAGAGAAGTGGGAGAACTCCTGAGCGGCTCCAGCCGGGATTTACCTGCTCAGGTAGACAGAGAAGAGATCCCGATCCACGAGCCTTTCCATCATCATGTTGTCGAAGACCGGAGTGGCTCCGGAGGAGGCGATGCTTGGGAATGCCAGTCCCAGGATCCCGTCGAAGGGGGTGTAGTAGAAGAAATCCCCCGGCTCCGTCTCTGCCAGCCCGAAAATCTGGTTACGGACATCGATCCCGGCGACCTGGGAAAGGGAGACAGGTATGGATTGGAATCCCGGGGATCCTCGATCCCATGAGACGGGAAGGATGGAGCGGCCCTACGTTGACGGTGTCGTATCCTAGGACTCCGGACATGCTCCCTGTGCCGTAGGCGATGAACAGGGTGTCATTGGTGCTCAGGAAGGTGGAGGAATCCGCGGGATTGAAGCGGTTGTGGTTCCCTGAAAGGGCCAGGAAGGAGGGAGTCACAGGAATGAGGCCACTGGGAATGAGGGTGGCACCTCAGTGTCCCTGGGAGAGGCAGGGCAGAGCCATCCCTGGCTCCCAAGGCCTGGGGCATTCCCCGTTGTCCCAGAAGCCACAGGGCTGCTGGACACATTCCGGACACCCAGACACACTCCGGACACGTTCCCGACACATTCCAGACACCTACTGCAAGCCGGGCTGGAGCAGAAGACAGAGGGAACCCACAGGTTGGAAGAGCCAGTGTCAAAGACAACGGTGAATTCCTGGGCTGGAGTCCCGATGGAGATGGTGCCGAAGTACTCGTCCTGTGGGAGCAGGATGGGGAAGGAAGAGTGGGGTGGGGATAATGCGATGGGATAGTTGGATGGGAAAGGGGTTAATGTGGAGGGGATAGTGGGATAGAGAAGGGGAGAGTAGAAAGAGGATAGTGGGATGGGGAAGGGGAGAGTGGAATGGGGACAGTGGGATGTGGAAGTGGTTAGTGGGGAGAGGATAGTGGGATTGAAAAGAGGATAGCATGAATGGGATAGTGGGATGGGGAAGGGGTTAATGGAGAGAGAATAGTGGGAAGGGGGTAATGGGATGTGGAAGGAGTTAGTGGGATGGGGAGGTGGGAGAGGAAAAAGGATAGTGGGATTGGAAAGGGGATAGTGGCCCCTGTGCCCCCTGATCCCGATCCCATTCCCTCACATCCATGTAGTTCTGCAGGGGCTCCACAGCGATCCCAGGGAAGTACTTGGCAGCCAGGTTATCAGGATGCTGCTCCAGGAAAGTCTCCAGCAATCCCTGCTCCCGCAGCCTCTCCCGCAGCGACTTCATCTTCTTCAGGGACACCCTGTGGACACAGGGATCCGTCACTGGGATCATCCCACATCCCGCATCCTTTGGGACAGGGGCCCTTCCTGGCGCTCACCTGGTCCCCAGGCCCTGGGCCAGGACCAGCAGGGAGAGGAGTAGGAGCAGCTTCATGGTGGGAGCTGAGGGAACTTGCGCCTCCGATCCCGCTCCTGCTCCTTATATCCCGGCTCCCGTGTTTGGCCAGCGGCTCCGATAAGGAAAGCAAACAGCTCCCGGGATTCTTATCACAACGTCCTTAAGGAAGGCAGAGAGGGAGGGGGGGGAATGTCAAGCCCTTGTTCCCAGGGGTGAATTGGGGATGCTGGGATGGGAGGGAAGTGCTCCCGGTGTCCCGAGGGAAGGCGCTGGGAGCTGGTGGGAATGGGGGGTTATGGTTGTCCCTTGGATCCCCCCTATTCCTGGCTGGAGGGATTGATCCCTGGATTGCGGCTCCCCAGGGATGAGGCAGCCAAGGCTTTCCTGGGAGATCCAGGGCCTCATTACCCTCACAGGGAAGGATTCATTCCCAATATCCCACCTAAAGCCACCCTCTGGCAGTGGGAAGCCATTCCCTGTGTCCTGTCATTCCACGCCCTTTTCCAAGGTCCCTCTCCACCCCTCCTGGAGTTGCTTTAGGGGCTCCAAGGTCTCTCCAGAGCCTTTTCCTCCAGCCAATCCATGCAGGATTTTCAGGCTGCCAGCTCCAGATTTTCCATTCTAGGAATCAGCCAAGCCCTTCCCCTTCCCAAACCCCTCCAGCACATCCCATCCTCCTTTTTTCCTCTGGGATAATCCGCTGCTTCATCCCTTTCCTCCCAACATCCCCCAGAATCCTTATCCATTTCACTCCCCCCATGGAATTCAGCCCAAATCCTCGGATTCTTTTGTTTTTCCGAGCTGGGAATGGGGCTGATTCCAAGGGAAGAATTCCAGCTCTGGCCTTAGGGAGCCTTTGATCTCCTCCAGGACAAGGTGACCGTCCCAGGATCCACGTGGTGCCTTGAGGGAAGCCAAGATTCCCGGCCCAGCTCCAGTGACCTTCAGCATTCCAGCAGCATCTGAAGCTGGGCTTTCCCCCAGCTGCTCCCACTTTCACTCCACAGCTGGTCCCAATTCCACATCAGCACCGGGAAAGGGTGAGAGGGATGAAATCCCAGTGGAAGCAAGACGTGGAAGTGTTGCAGCAAAGCCAGAGGAGGGCACAGAGGTGATCTGAGGGATGGGAAAGGCTGGGAGAGCTGGAATTGGCCAGCCTGGAGAAGAGGAGCTCCAGGGAAATCTTGGAGCCTCTCCTAGTGCCTCGAGGGGCTCCAGGAGAGTGGGAGAGGGATTTTGGGAATGGAGAGACAGGACAAGGGGAAATGGCTCCAAACTGGAAAAAGAGCAATTTAAATGGGATATTGGGAATAAATCCTTCCTGTGAGGGTGGTGAAGCACTGGAATGGATTTCCCAGGAAAGCTGTGGCTGCCCCTGGAACTGCCGAAGGCCAGGCTGGAAAAGGGATTGGAGCAACCTGGAGTAGTGGAAGCTGTCCCTGTAAACTTGGAGCTTCTGAGTTTTCCCTATTTTGGGGCCAAAATAGGAGGGAAAACAAAAATATTCCCTTATCCCAGAGCTGTTTATCCCTTTAATTCCCATAGCTGCTGTCCCTGGGGATCAGGACTCCAGATTTTCCAATGGATAGTTTTTGCCCAGGGATGGGAAGTTTTAGGACAAGTTCGTTGTAAATCCCACTGGATTTTTTTTGATGAATCCTTATCTCCAGCGGGGAAAAGCAGGAATTAATGTTTACCACTAATTAAATCAGGAATAAAAAGGTGGGAGGATGGAAAAACTAACCCTTTGGGGATGTGAACCAGCTTTTCCTCCTCAGGGAGAAACAGGGATTCCCAACCTTGACAGGGAAATTCAGAGAACCTGGAAAAACCCTTCCTGGAGCTGCGATTTTAGGTTGGGAGCAGGTGACCGAGGCCTCCCTGTCCCCGCTTTCCTTGGCACCAGAAGGCACCAAAGGATGGGAAGATCCCAAAAAAATCCTGATCTGGATCCACTCCCGATCCAGCCAGAGATTCCTGGTCAAACCCTCCCTCCCAAAACTTTATGCTTGCTCCAAGAAAATCCTGAAACGCCACTTGGGATGGATTGAACTCCCCCGGGAATCACCCTCTGGATCAATATTTCCTGATTTTCCAGCTTTTGGGACATCAAAAGCTTGGGAACTTCCTTAATTTTATCAAAAAAAAAAATCCCTAATGGAGTCAGGGCTTATCTTGGAATGGATTCAGGAAGGAAACTTGTTTTCCAGGCCCTGTTCCCAGTTTTTCTTGTCCCTTTATCACCCTGGAGTTTTATCGGAGCTGTCAGATGAAAGGAGGAAATTCTGAGGCTCCTGAGGAGACAAATCTCCGGGATTTGCTTAAAAATATTGAATTAAGTTATCAAGGATCTTGGCATTCCCTGTGGGAATGGAATTCTGAGGGACAGGGACCTCAGATAACCTTTTCCTGCCTGATTTTGGGTGGGATTAACAAAAAATTCAAGGGAAAAAAAAAAAAAAAAAAACAGGTAACCATCTTTTATGGGAATGAGGGAGATTAATAAGAAAATAATGGGAACATCCCTTAAAAAGGAAATATTATCCCAATTGTTACTGCTGGATAACATATTTAAAAGGATGTTTACCCATTTATTCCTTGCAAATCTAAATGCAATTTAATTTATCCTTAATCCTTACGTTTTAATGTAAAAGAATCCCAGGTGGAACCATTTTTATGGTAATTAAGGATATTAATGAACAGATAACGGGAATGTCCTTCCAAAACCATGGAAATTAAGGACATTAATAAACATTTAATGGGAACATCCTCCCCTTTATCCCATTTTTTAATTGCTGGACAACAATTAAATGGATATTTTCCCATCTATTCCATGAAAATCCTAATTTTTCCTCTCCCCACTCCATGAATTTTCTATCAAATGGTAACTAAATGTTTTTCAGCTTTTCCACGTGTTTGGAAAACTGCTCCAGACAAGCCTGGAAAGCGTTTCTTTCCCTTTGGAAAGTCGAGTCCTTTTGCTTTCCCATAACATTGGGAGTTTGACCTGTTTATCAGCCGCGTTGGGAACAAGCTGTCCTTGATCCAACCGGAATTTTTGGGGATCATGTGACTCCCGTTTATTCCACAACAAAGGTTCAGGTGACTTGTGAAATCAGAGGTGCCTTTCCTGGATCCCCAGGGGCACTTTGAGAACAACCTCCTGCTGTCTCCTGAGGGAGCTGCTCTCCCCATTCCTTATCTCGGGCTGGGAATTGGGAACGGGGACTTCATTTGGGAAAAGCGGGGCTTGGATTTGTGTTTTGGGGGATGGGATTGGAGCTTCCATTTACATTCCGGAAAACATAGCCCTGTTTCATGTCAGGAGGGGGCTAATCCAGGTGTTCCCAAGGGGTTCCCTTTGGTCTCTTAGTTCCAGCGGGCTGGGAATTTTTGGGATGTTATCTGGATTTGGGGGATGTTGCCGGGCTCTCTGTGTTTTTTCCGACTGAGCCTTGGGCACTTCCAAGGCTGGGGCAGGCACGGCTTCTCTGGGAAATCCATCGCAGTGTTTTCCCCCCCCTCACAGGGCAGGATTTATTCCCAAAATCCCACTAAATCCCTGGCCGTCCATACAACCCCATTCCCTATTATCCTATGCTCCTTCTCCAAACCCCTTTCTCCCCCTCTCTCAGGGTTCCTCCACCCCAAAACCACGAAGGATATAACTCCTAGAGCGGCTATGACCCGGCGGGAGCCCCCCGGGCATCCAAACATTGCTTAATTAGGAAAAAATTCCATTAAATTGCTCCCGAATCCCGCCCCCCCAAACATGGCGGCGCCGGGCGGAACCACCCGCGGCCTCCCGGGGGGGGGGGAAAGGGGGGTCCGTCCCCCCTCCTGCTGGTGATGGTCCCGCTCACTTCCGGTCAGCGCCGGAACCCGGAATTAGCGACAGGCAGAGTGTCCAGGGTGAGTCCGGGGCTGGGCCAGGAATGGGAATACCGGGAATAAAACGGCGGGATAACGGCGCTAACGCGGCTGCTCCTGCTCGCTGCTGCCGTGTAGTCACTCAGCGCGTCGCCTCCACCCCGCTGAGCGCCGCTGGGCGCTTCTCAGAGCGTATTCCTGAGTTTTCCCGCTCCCAGCATTCCCGGTTAAACTCCATAAAAATTCCTTAAGAGACAAAAAACCCCTCCTGAATCGGGTGATTCCCGCTTGCGGGGAAAGCCCCGCACCTGCGGCGCGGGGCGGAATTCCCAGTTTTTTCCCCTCGGACAGGTTTCTCGGGATCGTGCATTGCGACATTCCCGAGGCTCTTGCGACATTCGCGGCGTGAAACCCTTGGGATGCTCCACTTGGATAAGAGGTAGAAGAGCCGGAAGCCATCGGGGCGGCGCAGGTGTGTGGGGTGTCCGCCTTTTTTTATGGCATTTCCGCAGTATCCCCTCCGAGCTCTTGGAATTTTTGCCGCATGCATGGGATAATTCCTAAATGTTATCAGGAAACCTGGAATATTTGGGATAAATCGTGGATATAGTGCTGGAAATCTAGGATTTGGGGTTATTTCGCTGCTTTTCATGTCAGAGGGTGGAACTGGATGATCCATAAGGTCTTTTCCAAGCCTTTGTAAACAGTGGTATGGGAGCAGGTCCAGGTTTCCTTGGAAGAACGGGAATCTGGGGTGGGTTGGAGCCTGGAATGAGGCAGAATCTGGAAAAGGGGGCAGAGATTCAGCTGGAATTTGCCAGTCTGGACTGGGGTTGGGTTTTTCCTCAACAAAACCCTCTGGGATGCACAAAATTCCTTCCAAACGGTCTGGGAAAAGGTGGGAAAAAGTCATTCCCGAAGGAGATATCAGCAGGAATGTCACTTTGACTTTGCTGATTTCTTATGGAATCTGCTCCAGGAGGTTTAACAAAGTTGGGTTTCGATCCCTGTGAGGACGAACAGCTGGACTGGGGGATTTTCTCAGCTCCTTTTCCGTGTCCCAGGAATCCGTGAGGATGGACACGCTCCGGAACCGGACAGTGGAGGAGCTCCGGGAGCTGCAGGAGGATTCCCAGGAAATCGAGCGCTTGGCTCTGGAATCGCAGGAGGTTGGTGGGGGAGGGGTCATTGCAGGGTTCCCTCGTCCCATTCCTGGCGTCACTTCCCGAATTCCACAGGTGCAGGAGCTGCAACTGGAGCGGGAAATGGCCTTGGCTTCCAACCGGAGCCTGGCGGAGCAGAACCTGAAATTCCAGGCACCACTGGAATCGGGACGGAGCGACCTCTCCAGGAAATACCTGGAGCTGCAGGAACTGGCTGGGAGGTGCCGGGAGCAGAAGGAAAAGCTGGGTGAGCCCTGGGACCATCTCAGCTTGGGAACGAAGGATTGCGCTTCCCAGAAAGCCAAGATCCTGCTTCTTTCCCAGGAGAGATCCTTTTGGGTTTTCCTCCTTCCCTGAGTGGTTCCCAAGGCTGGTCCTGTGGGATCCCTGCTGGATTTTCCCAGTGGTAGTGATTTTTCCATGTTTTTTTCCCTTTTTTCCATGGTTTTCCCAGAGAAATCCTCAGCAGCGCTGCAGCCCCAGACTCTGCTGGAGCTGCTCCAGGTGGAAAGCCAGAAGATTGAGGAGGAATCCGAGGTGAGGTCGAGGCTTCAATCCATCGGGAATTCCGTGCTTCATCCTCAAAGACCCACGGCTAAGCCCAATCCCAAAAATCCTTCATTATACTTGGAATTTGCTGGTTTTCCCCCCTCCCCAAAAATCAGATCAACCCTTGTTTGTGTGGAGTCCGGGAAAGACGCGAATCCCAAAGTGGGAGGAGGGAACAGGAGCCGAGGGATCCCGGGATGACCCCAGGGCTGTTCCTCTCTTCCAGAAAATGGCGGAGAAATTCCTAAAGGGTGAAGTGCCCTTGGAGACGTTCCTGGAGCAGTTTTCCAGCATGAGGAGATTGTCCCACCTGCGCCGGGTACGCGTGGAAAAGCTGCAGGAGATCGTGAGGAAGTCGGAGGGATCCCAGGAATCCGGCCAGGACTCGCAGCCTCCTCCTCCTCCTCTCCCTCCTACTCCTCACATTCCCGTGGATCCTCCGAAGCCCTTCCCAGCAGGATCTCCGCCCTTCCCCCTTCCCTATAGCCCAGCTCCCGCGCTCCCTCCCGGCCCCCTGGCCCATGGAGCGCTGCCTCCCACACCTTTCCCGGCATCTCCGGCCTCCGTGGCTTCTTCCCAGCCCGGCTCCCAACCCTTTCCTTACCCTACTCCTGGATATCCCTCGGCTCAGGCTCCCAGAGCCGCCTCCGGAGGCTATTCCTGGTCTCCATCCCGGGCCCCTCCACAGCCAGCACCGTATCCTGGTCCCAGTCCGTCCCCTCCTCCCAGGCCAGGATACTCTCCCTACATCCCTTCCGGAGTGGGAAGGTCGCAGTGTCCCTATCCCACCCAGCCCCCTCTCCCGAATTTCCCCATCCCAGCACAGCCTCCCTATCCTGGGGCTCCCCCAGCCTTTGGATACCCCCCCCCTCCCAACCCCTCCCGTCCAGCTTGGCCTGGATACTAATCCAGGGCTTTCCGGGAGCATCCTCTGCTACTTCCTTCTTTTTCTGGGGATTGAGGAACAGGTGGAATCCCATGAATTCCGTAGGATGAGAGTCACAGCGCCAGGAGTCAGAGCCAGATGATTCCCAGCTGGATATAGCAGGAAGAAGCAGCCCCTCAGGGCTGGAATGCCAGAGAGGAGAAGGCTGCAGGGAGACCTTGGAGCACCTTCCAGAGCCTAAGGGGGCTCCAAAAGAACTGGAAAAGGACTTGGATATAATGGCCTGGAATGATGGGATAAAGGGGAATGGCTTCCCACTGCCAGAGGATGGGTTTAATGGGATATTGGGAAGAAGTTCCTCCCTGTGAGGTTGGTGAAGCACTGGAATGGGTTTTCCAGGGAAGCTGTGGTTGCTCCGTCCCTAGAGGTGTGCAAGGACAAGGTGGACGGAGCTTGAATCCACCTGGGTTAGTGGAATGTGGTTGGAATGGGATAATCCTTAAAATCCCTTCCCACTGAACCATTCCAGGATTGTTGGGAATGGGTGATTCCCACCCAGCCTCTGCTATTCCCGACCTCCTGTGTAGTTTTCCAGGCTCCTCACATCCCCCTTCTCAGGAAACACTTGGAGACAGAGGGAAGGACAAATACTGGGAATGGGATTTGCTTTGCTCAGCACTTTATCCTACGAGTCCCGCCCATATCCCTGGAAGTTATTTATAAGGAATAGTTACTAATGGACTAGGATGGGGCTTTGTGGGATTTCATGGAAGCAATTCCATCCCTGGAGTTAATTACAGTAATAAAACTGGATGAATTAATTCCGTCCTGGAGTCACAACCAGTATTTCGCTCAGGAATGATGGAGCATCCGCCTGTGGGTTGATCCCTTTATCCCTTCCTGGCATCCCAACACCTGCTCCCTTTGGATTCCAACCTTTCCTTCTGTCCCAGCACCGTCTCCCAACCCATTTTTCCTGCTTTTCCTGGGTTTGTCTTTCCTCAGGGACACGTTTTCTTGGGGTTCTTCCGGGTAGAAAACCAGGGAAAAATGCTTTTCCCTGTTTTCCTGTCCTGCTTTTCCCTCCTGAGCGGGAGTCTGGTGCTCTAAGGAATCACTCTGGGATATGGGAAGGAAGAGGACAAGGTGTAATTAGTACCAAAAAAATCCCAATTTTATTACAGCTGTTGGATATTAAATACCTTAGATTCCTTCCCAGTATTCCCACCCTCCTTGGACTTGCATCCCTTTCCTTTATCCATCGGTCTGGAGCCACGGAAAGGCCTCTTAAATCCGTATAAATACCTTAAGAACCCCCAGAACTCCTCTTTTTCTCCCTGTAACGCTGGGATCCCCCTAAAGCTGAGCCGGGAGCAGCTCCTTTGGGAATCCTTTGGGGATCACACCCTGCGGGCAGAGTGCAGGTCGTAGTCGCTGTCAGAGGAGTATTCCAGAGGGTTGGAATGTCGGAGCGCTCCTTCCAGTGCTGTGGAGGGGATGGATGCGGCTCGTGGGATGGCCAGAGGGCTCAGCCATGGAAGAGGAGCTGCTTCCAGAATTTACCTGGATAAGCAGAGAGCTGGGAGCTCTTGGGCGGGACTGGAGCGTAGTCGTTGTCCGTTCCTTGTCCCCGAGGCCTCGGAGCGGCTGAGCTGGAGCGGTGGAAGGAGACTGGAACACAAGGTGGAGTGGGGATCGGGATTGGAATCAGGATCGGGGGGGCTGGAAGGGCAGTTTTGAGCCAATGGACTCACCCCCGGGAGGGGGCTGAGGGAAGTCGGGGGAGTTGTATCCAATGCCAGGAATCCCAAATCCACCCCCAGTAACCCCAGTGCACCGCCCTGAGCCCAAAATCCACTCCCAGGTGCACAAATTCCACCCCCACGAACACCAGTCCCACCCCCAGGAACCACAAATCCCAATCCCTGCCCTCCTGGGGGGCCTTTCCTCACCCGTCTGGTTGAGGCCCGTGGGGCCGATCCATTGGCGCTGCTTTTTCTTGGAGACTAGAAGGCAGAGGTGGGCGGAGAGCAGGAATTATCTCTCCAGGGATCTTACTGATCCTTCCTCCGGCTGCTTCCCCACTGCCAGCTCCATATGTCATCCCAAATAATCCTCTCCCACACTGTAATTCCCCCTCAGGATCCTCTGGCTGCTCCTTTGTGTCCCCTGTGGAGCTTAATCCCCCTTCCCGCTACCCTGCTTTGTGCCTATTCCTCATGGGACAGGCTTAGGGATAATGTGACAGGTCTGGGGATAATGGGAGAGGTCTGGGATAATGGGACAGGCTTGGGGATAATGGAACAGGTCTGGGGATAATGGGAGAGGTCTGGGATAATGGGACAGGCTAGGGGATACTGGGACAGGTCTGGGAACAGTTGGAGAAGCATGGGGACAATGGGACAGGCGTGGGGATAATGGGACTGGTCTGGGGACAATGGGAGAAGTCTGTGAATAAGTGGATAGGTGTGTGGACAGTGGTACAGGCTCAGAGACAATGACACAGGCTTGGGGATAGTGGGACAAGTCTGGGAACGATGGGACAAGTGTGGGCTGAGGATCCAGAGGATCTCCTACTTCTCTTCCGGAGCCTCCTGCAGGCAGGGGGGCCACAGACAAGGAGGAGGATGAGGAAGAGCAGCAGGGCCAGGCAGATGCTCCCAATGGTGCCGGCAGATGTGCCAGTGGGAAGTGGCTTGGAGTCCTGGCCTGGGAAGAGGACAGATGGCACCGGACAAGACCCTTGTGCCCAAGGACATGAAAATCCACCAGGAGCCCAAATCCCACCCAGCAAGGTGTGTCCCGTCCCTGCCCATTCCACAGGGCTGGGAATTCCAGCTCCCAGCACCCCACAGATCCCACCCGGCACAGTGCCTTACACACAACTCTGGTCCGGGAGCAGCTCCGGAGGCTCCCAAGGTTCCCGTGGCAGAGGTGCAGGGGGTCGATCCCACAGGTGACTCCCATGGAAGGGGGCTCCTGGATCTCAGCGCTGGAGGTGAGATTCCCGCAGTGCAGCTCCCGGCAGAGCTGGCGGCCGCGCTGGGAGCGCCGCGCTCTGTCGTCACACAGCACCCGCCACTGGCCCCCCTGGAAAACCTGGATGTCCCCCTCGCACGGAGTGGGGCCGGAGCCCAGCCTCCGCAGCACCCGCAGCTGGGAATCTGGGGACGGAGCAGGAACAGCTGTGGGGATACTGGGACACATCTGGGATAACGGGACAGCTTGGGGATCATGGGATAGGCTTGGGGATAGCAAGGCAGGTCTGGGGGTAATGGGACAGGTCTGTCAGATCCATAGAGAGGGGGCAGATCCATGGGGAGATGCCCGTGGCTGGGAGATGCCTGAGGCATGGAACACTCTCCCAGGCAGCACCCAGAGGTGTGGGTCTCTGGGTTCCCCACTCCTGTTTGGAATTTGGGATGCTGCCATGGCCTCTCTCCCTCCCCGGCTCATCCTCTTCCGGCAGAGCCAGGAGCTGAGATTTCCTGTTTTGCCTTCGCACCCCAGAGAGGAAGAACGGGAGTGGGTGGATGGAGCACGTGGGGCAGGAACCCGGAATTCCCCTGGGATACTCCCCTGGAAAGGCCCAGATGCTCCAAGTGTACTCTCACCTGAGCAGGTGATGAAGGCAGGAGTTTTCCCCCGGGGGCTGGTCCTGTTGAAGCATTCCAGGAGGGAATGGCTCTTACAGGGATCCAGCACTTCCCACCTCACGGGCAGGTGGATCCCAGGATCTGGCTCCCCGTGTCCATGCCCGGTGGTGCCACAGCGCAGATCCCGGCAGATACGGGGGCCCAGATGTGCCCAGATGTTGGGGGGCATCCTGGCCACAGCCCCCCACAGCCCCGCCTTGTGCAGCTCCAGGAATCCGGAGCAACTGAAATTCCCGTCCACCAGCCGCAGCCTGGGTGGTCCTGGAGAGGGATTTGGGGGGAGGAGCAGCACATCCCGATCCGTTATGGATTGGGATGAGATTCCCTTCCATTACTGAGGAGAAAGTCCCTAAAGCTGCAGTTTAATTGCTGCATGGATCTCCTGGAATGGGGGCCTTGGATTCCCCGGAATGGTATGGGTGGGGATGCTGGATCCCTCAGGATCGAGGTCTTACCTGTGGGCTCTGGGGTGGTGTCTGGAGGCGCTGGTGGAGGCTTGGGAGTGGTTTTCTCTGGCTCTGGAATGAGAAGAGAAGGAGCCCCCTCAGCCTGGATGATCCCTAGGGACTGAGGTGAGTGGGATGGGGGTCCAGGCTCACCTTTGCAGGAGACAATAACGTGCTCCGTGCAGTTTCCTGGCTCCCAGTGGCATTCCCCCAGTGCTCCCTCTGGATTCCTGCACCTCACAGGCTGTGCGCACGGCTCCTTCCCATGGGGAATGACAAGCTGGAAGGGCTCAGAGCTGGGGGGGCCGCAGCCCATCCGTCGGCAGGTTTCACCCAGGTTGAACTCCCCCACGTTATCCCGGCACACGCGTCTCCAGCAGCTTTCCCAGCCCACCTCCAGGATCCCGGCACAGCGGCACCCACCACCAAAGAGCCGCAGGCCGGGACCTGCAGGAAGACACTGGAATTTAGGGGGCTTCCCTTCCCTTCCTGGTAAGTTTACCATCCTGGGAATGATGGGAAAGCCCTTTTTCGGGATATCTCACAAAGTGGGACAAGGAATGGGAGTGGGGGCAGATGAAGGGAAAGCTGCGGGGCTGAGCCGGGACCCCACGATGCCGCATTCGGATGATACAACTCCGGATCCAGCTTGCTCCCGGAGCCGTAGGGGGGTTCCCTAGGTGTTTATCCCCCCCAGTCTCACCTGCAGGTGTCCAGGTGGCTCCTCCATGGTCGGGAATGGCTGGAAGAAAGACAGGGGTGGGGCGTCAATCCTGCTCCCCACCCTGGGCAGCGCCATTTTGGGGCAGAGGCTCCGGCACTTGGTTGTTTTGTGGGAGAAATGGGATTTTGGGGGGCAGAAAAGGGGTTTGTTGCCTGTCCATCCATCTCTGGGGTTTAATTAGGGCTGGAAAAAGCCAAGGGACCTGCTAATTCCCCTTAATTAGCTGCACTCCTGGGTGGAAGCAGCAGCTGGGGCTGGTGCCATGGGGACCAAGGGAAAGCTAGGAATGTCAGGACCTGGGCTGGAATGAGGATGGGGAGCATCCCTGGGCTCATGGCTGGGGTGGGACGAGCACCCTAGAGTTGTGCCAGTGGGGTTTTGTCCCCCTCATATCCCGTCCCCATCCCAAGGCCCCCCAGCTGGGCCTCACCCAGAGTGGCACCACAACCCCCTCCCAAAACATTCCCGGGTGGGAAAACCCACCAGGAGGTCCCAGCACGGGATGTGAGCGATGCCCCGAGCCAGGGGCATCCCCAGTACTCACCCCACATTCCCAGTAGGAGCAGGAGGCACAGGGTGGGCAGCTGGGCTTCCATTGGGTGCTGGTGGTGGGATGGGGGGACACGGGGGGCTCCAGAGGCTCTGCTGCCCAGCCTGGAGCGGGCGAGGGAGGGGGGCCCGAGCAGGAACCGGCTGTTTTTCCTCCCTCTGTGGTTTCTTGACGTCACGGCTGTGCCCGCCTCAAGGCTCAGCTGCCTCCCCAGGTCCCGCCAAAAAGGGGGGGAGAAACCTGGGGGGCAGCTCAGCCCCCTCCCCAAATCCCGAGATTCCCACATCTCCAGAGGGAGGGTTGGACTTATCCAGTGCTGAGGGAATGTTTGGGGTCACGACCCTTCGGGGCTGAGGAGGAGCTGGTGCCCACCCAAAACACTGTGAAACCCCCTGGGAATGGGACGAGGGAAGGGTTTATTCAGGCACATCCCAGTTTCTGGCATTCCAGGGATGCCCCATGTCCTGGCAAGGGCACGTGGGGCACTGGCAGGGCTGGTCCAGGGCGAGGCAGAGGCGTTAATTGATTGGGCCCTAATTAATTCCTCCAAATCCAGGTCATGCATGTTAATGAGGTGGCTGTTTCCCATTGATCCTGTGCTGTTCCTGCTGGAAGGAGAGTGCCTGGAGAGCACGAATGGGAGTATGGAAATTCCCTTCCCTTTCCTTCCCTTTCCAGTCCAATCCCCCACCCTGGAGCAGGATCTCAGCTCCCCTGGGAGTTTCCTGGGTGCTCCCTGAACTCCCTGCATGTTCCCATCCCAGTTATCCCAGGGGTCCTACTGAGCCCCCCAAACTGTGATTGTGGCAGGAGGAAGCCCTGTTGGGATGTCCTACCTGGAGCTGACCCCCACCCCGTTCAGCTTTGAATATTCCCTGGAAAAAGGGTGTAATTCCCAGATCTGCTCCCACAGGACTCAGCCAGGGGGATCTTTGTACAGGATCCAAGCCCCAAATTCCCCCAAATCGACCTGAAATTGGTGGTTTCCCCCAGACATCCTGGGATACTTCGCCTCTAGGAAAGATCCACGTTATCCAGGGTGCTGTGACCCCTATGGATATGGGATTCCTGGGATCCAGCCCTTCCCTCGGGGCCTTGGCTGTCTGTGGAAGCCCTGGAATCCCACAGACAGGATTTGGAATTGCACTGAGCATCCCTCTTGCTGCTGGTGACGCTGGGAGTCAGCTCAGCATCCTGTGACAGCTCGGGATGCTTGGAATCCCTTCCCGGGGGAGGATTTTGGGACGTGCTGACACATTGCCTGCCGTGAGGAGCCTTTTAAAAAGCAGGAGCTGTCTTTGGAGCGAGCAGGGATGGGTTCGTCTGCTGTCAGCACCTGCTGGGATCACAATGAAAAATGGGAAAAATGGGGCATTTTCCAGGTGGGAGCAGCTCGGAAAAAGGGTTGGCACCACTGTGGGGATGGAAGTGGCACATTCCCTGTGAGGCCATGGGCTAGATTGTACCGTTCCCAGGGAATTGATGCCTCCCAGGGCTTTGGGGCCCCTGGGCACCAAACCCCCTTAGGTCACTGATACTCTGAGGCTGCTGCCCATCCATAGGATGATCCCAGTGATCCCAAAGTCCTCACTGCCATCTGCCCAACCCCTCCCCCCCGCTGGCACAGGGGCCGGGGGCACCCCTCTTTCCCCCCTGCCATGCCTGCCCCGTTCTCAGCTCTCGCCTGCCCCGCTCCCTTTGTCAGGGTTTTGTTGCTATTTTGGGATTTCCTCTGTTGTTGCGGCTCCTTTGTCGGGGCCTCTCGCTCCGTAAACACCTGAAGGATGTGGGGGGGCCGCTTTTTCCATGGGGGGTGCAGATGAACCCCAGTCCTCCCCCTCGGGGGAGACGGAGAACCGGGGCTGGAGACGCTCCTCAGGGTTCGGGTGGGCCGTGGGAAGGGGATTTTGGGGTGCAGGGAAGTCCTCTGGGCTGGGGGTCCCAATTCTGGGGTGAGGGGTGGGTGCTGTGCCCCCCCCCCCCAAAAATCCACCAGGGCCCTCGTGTGTTTGGCTCCAGCATCCCCCTGGGATGGAGACTGTGTCCCAGTGGGATGCAGGGAACCTCCTGGAGGGGGAGGGACACTGTGGGGCACTAAACCCTCCATATCCCCAGTTCCTGAGGTGTCATTTCCACTCCCAGAGCTGGGTGGGGTCTCTGCCACCCCCATCCCTGCTCCTGCAGGCTGGGAATGGGATATCTGGATATCCCAGTGGGCAACTAGGAGCGCTCGGTGGCCCAGCCCTGTTGTGGGAATGGTGACAAGTCACTCCCATGGAAGGACAAGGAACACAGTGGGAAAAGCTTTTAATGACAGCACAGAGGGATGGCTGGAGAATTCCAGAGGTGATGCTGGCAGTGGAATGGTGACCTCGGCCAGGTGTCCCCTTGGAGCAGCGGGAAAGGCTCAGTAGGAGGCTCCCTGGATGTCATCGTAGTCACTGCCCTCAGAGAAATCAGGATCCTGTCCCGAGGGATCCGTCCAGCCTGGAGGGACACAGCCCATCAGGATTTGGGAGCAGAGGATCCCAGAGTCCCCCTATCCCCCTTGCCAGCGGGAGATCCTCACCAGGATGTTGGGAAGGGTCTCCAGAGGGCTCTGTGCCTGGAACATTCTCGTACCACTCCCCTGAGGAGGTGCTGGAGCTGCTGGCGGGATCGGGATCTACTGGACACAGAGGTACCCAGGGCTGGAAGGCCACTGGGGTGGGAATGCTGGGAGCTGCTGGGGAAACTGGGAGAAACAGGTGCTTACTGAGACCTTCATCCCTGTTCCCATTCCGTGAGGTACCCCCACCCTTATTCCCCTCCCCAGGGCTGTTCTCATCCCTTATTCCCACCTTTGGGATCTCTGCTTTCCTTGTTCCCACCTCTGGGGTTTCTCCATCCCTATTCCCATTCCCATCCCTGCTCCCACACATCCCTCCAGCAGGGCCCACCTGTGCCCCAGTTTTGCTGGGAGGGGACGTTGCCATTCCAACAGGGATCCGTAGCTGAGGATGAGGAGGAGCTGGAGGAGCTGTTCTTCCTCCCAGGGAATGGGAGGCCCATCCTGGCCGATGCTGCGGGAACAGGGACATCCAGTGTAGGAACAGGGAGGAGCCGCCCCCTCATCCATGGGTGGACCCCCCTTGTCCCATACCATCCTCAGGGAATGGCTCCATCCCGTCCTGGCTGGGCCTCGGTGGGAGCAGCTGCTCCCTAGGATGCCGGCGCAGCGAGTCTGGGAAGGGGAGAGCAGTGGGAGTACCCTGGGAGACAGGGATCCCAGGAAAAGGGGATGGGAATCCTGGAGCATGGTGATGGGGACCCTGGGTAGGGTGGCAGAGTTTCCTAGGGCAGGGTGAGGGGAATTCCAGAGGAAATGGGACACTCACTGTAGAAGGTGGAGAGGGCAACAGGCGGTTTGCTGCTGAACTCGTAGTATTCCGAGTCAGAATCGGAGGTGGAATCCTTGGAAAAGGCTGTGCCCGGCAGGTGTGGGGGGTGAGAATGGGATGGGGAACCTGCCATCAGCTGGAATCCCCGTCCTCACACCCCCTGGGCGTGACTTGCCAGACCCACCTGATCCTTTGGGAAGGCTGGTGGGAATCTCCCTGTAGTCATTAGGAATCCCGGAGGGTACATCAGGGCTCTGGGAGCTATGGGTCACCAGGACTGGAGTGGTTATTCCCAGGGCTGCGGGGACAATGGGAATGCAAAGCTGAGCTGAGCCCAAAAAGTGGAATGTATGCCCCAATTTCATACCGGGTCCAGAATTCCTTACCGCTCCTCTTCCTCAGCCTCAGCAGAGCGACGGAAAAGGCCAGCACGGAGAGCAGGAGCAGCATTCCCAGCACCAGGCACAGGATGAAGAGGAGACTATCCCACGGGAATTGTGTCCCTACAATTGGAGACCCTTCCTCCACTGGGACAGAGAATGGACACAAGTCATTCCCACCTAAATCCTTCCTCCCTGTAATGGGAAGGAAGGGATTGCAGGACACTCACCCCGCAGGACAGTGACATTCCTGGTTGTCACTGCAGCCATGGGTGTTGGATCCAGCAAACCCTGGGAGCCTGGAGAGGGGAGCGGGGACAGAAATCAGATTACAGGGATGTCAGGGGGCAGGAATTCCCTCCCAGATCCCAGCAGGAAGATACCATACCATTGCAGACCACCCCGACAGCCCGGGATTGGTGGCAGGGAGCGGATCTGTTGAAGGTCCAGCGGCAGAACGCCAGGGAAGTCTGGAGGCTCCCGCACTCATACAGCATCTTCCCGGGAAGCGTGTGTCTGAAGGAGAGTTTCTGGAGCGGTATCCCGCATCCCAGACTGTGGCACAGCACCGCCGATTCTGGCCCGTACCAGGTGCTGTCGCACACCGTGCTCCAAGTGCCACGGAAAAACACCTCCAGCCTGCCAGCACAGCCATCCCAGCCTCCGGAGAGTCGCCACTCCTGGTGTTCTGGGGGAAAGCACAGGGATGTGTCTCCTACACCTCTCCCTGCTGGAGCTGGGATTTTCCCACACCCACCTGAGCAAACCACGCCAGCGTCTTCCTTGTGGCTGCAGTCGTGCTCCAGAGCGGCCGGACATTCCCAGAGATGCCTCTCATGCCCTTGGCATCCCAGCTCGTCCCGGAGGATGGGGCCGTGCCCATGGCCAAAGGCGGAATTCCCACGGACGCTCACAGCGTGGCCACACCGGAGCTGCCGGCACACGACGTCAGCGTCGGAAATGTCCCATCCATCGTCGCACACTGTCCCCCATATTCCCTGTTTTTCCAGCTCCACGCGGCCCTCGCACCGGCTCCTGCCACCGGCCAAGCGGAGTGCTCCAGGATCTGGGAGACACACAGGGAATGGTGACCTGGTTATGTTCCCAATGCCCCCTTCCCACTAAAAAGTGGGAGCAAGGGTGTTCCTAAGGATGTTCCTCGCCCTCCGACACTCACCTGGTGTCACCAAGGCATTCCTGCTTGGAATACTGGGAGATTCTGTTGGCTCTGCGGGAGCTGTGGAGAGAAAGGTGTGAGGTCCACTTGGAGAATTTTTTCCTTAATTATGAGAAAGTTGGGACACAACTCACCGGTGGAAGAGCTGAAATTTGGGGTGTCCTCACGCATCCGGTCTCCTCCCGCTTTCCGGCTCATCCCTGCGGACACAGAGGCGCTGTACCTATCCCAGAGCCACCGGTGAGTGGAAGCTCTGGATATTCCTGGGAAAATTACCCATTTGGCCTCTCTAGGGTGAGAGAGCCCTCAGGAGCAAGGGGTCTCTCCCTGTTCCAGGGGGGCTGGTTGGGTGGGGATCCCGGGGAGCTGGTGGGGTGTGGATTGGAGTCCAAATGATCAAGGAAAAGTGCAGGGATGAGGGAGAAAAATGGGAATGAGCTGCTCTGTGGGGGTGGAGGTGAGAGGAGGAGCGGAAATGGGGGTGAGAGGCCCATTCCCCAATCGATCCGAGGCATTAAGGTAGCTCCTGGCAGCCATTTCAGAACCCAAACCACCCAAAATCTGGGTGGGATGAAGGGGTGGGAAAGGCTGGATCGCATCCCAAAATCATCCAGGGGTGACAGGAGGGACAGGATGGGATTTGGTCCCGGAGCATCCCACAGGGCCAGTGGGTGGGACAGCTCTGAGGGCACTTTTAGGGGCTTAGGATTCCATTTTCTCGGGTCCCCAGGGTGTTTTTAGGGGTCCCTCATCCTGGGGAGACCCCAATCCTTAGGACTGCCTTTTAGGGAACCCCTTCCCTCGCTCCCAGTGGACAGGAGGGTTGGAGGAGCTGTGGAGCCACCACAGGAGCATCTGCCCCGGGACCTCCATCCTGGGAAGGTTGCAGGTCCCCAAGCCCAAAATCCATGGACCCAGCACCCCAAGCTCCCAAATAAAAGGCTAGGAAGAGACAGGCTGGGGATGGCGACGTACCTTGTCCGGGCGCCACGGTGGAAAGAGCCACCACGAGCAGGTACAGCCCCCTCATCCCTTCAGCAGAGCAACCTCATGGAATTTCAGGATTGGGGTGGGGGGCCTGGGGGTCCCTCTCTCAGGGCGGCGAGGTCTCTCTCTCCGGTGGTTCCGGGACTGTGGCGGAGAGGAGGAAGCCAGGTTGGCATCACGAGGTGCGATGGGGTGGCCCCATCCTGCTGCTGGTGGGGAGGAAATGGGGTGTCGGAGCCCCCGGAGCCCCTCCAGGGCAGGGGAACCTCGTGGACCTGGGGGTCCCACCCCAGGAAAAGCAGATCCACTGGAACCACTGGGATCTGCGGCTCGTTTGTCACAGATTTGGGATGGCACAGGGCAGGGGGGGATTTGGGGTCTTCCAGGCTGATGGAGCTCCACCCCGTTTTTTTAGGGATGAAGTGGGTGGGAGGAGATACCTGCAGGGCACAGTGTGAGGTGACCCCACAAATGTCTCACCCATCCCTATGGATCAGCTCCAAATCCTTCGGGATGCTTCCCAGGGAAGCCGGAAGGGGAGCTGGGATGGGGCCTGGATCCTGCCCTGCCTGGATCCTGACCTTCATCCCAGCCTGGATGCTCTACTTCCAGGATGGGCTCCAAGCTGGACAAGCAGTGGTAGATCCATCCAGGATCTGATCCATCCAGGAGTTGATCCCAAGGAGCCACCATCCCGCTGCCTTCCGGATGGAGTCACTTCCAGTCCCAAGCAACTTCCAGCATATCCAGGACCTCCCCAGGACCCTCCAGGGGTACGTGGTGAGGGATGGAATGGGCCTGGAGGGGGAGGGATGGGGTGGGAGCTGGGGCATCCCAGGAGATGTTGATCCTACTGTGGCTGAGGGCTTGGATCCAGATGGACACCTGGAGACCCGGGATGCCCTGAAAGAGGGACAGGACCGGGATCACCCCATCTCAGTAGGGTTTGGGGAAGCTTTGGGATCAGGGTGATGGGGTGTGGGAGGGGGTTTTCTTCTACCACCCAGGGCAATTTGGGAGTGTCTTGGGATCACTGGGAGGCTGGAAAAAGGGTGGGAGTTTCCACGGTAACCTAAAATAAAGGGGGAATTAATTCCTCTGGCCATTTCCAGAGGGGACATTTGGGTGGGTCAGGGTAGGAGGAGACCTAGGACCAGGCTGGTGTTGGGGCTGGAAGGTGGAGGAGGTGGATGGCAGGATAGGGAGAAAGGAGATCCCTTATCCCAAGGTCACCCCAGCTGGGCCAGGGCCAGGATCCATTCCCGTGACCAGCTCCCACGTGGATCCAAGGTCAAGGGCACATTCCCATTCCTGGAAGCCTGTCACTACCATGGGAGCAGGATGGGTCCCAGTATCGGGATCAGAGGAGATGCCACAAGGAACAGGGGGGGAATACCCACTTTTTTTTTTTTTTTAAATACTTTATTTTTGTAACAATGTCAGAATTAAAAACTTTTCCATAAATACCAGCCCCTTCCTGGGCGTTCCCGGTAAAAAATGTGTACAAAACGGATGCGTGGCCAGGGTGAAGGGATTGGGGGGAGGGGAGAAAGCAGGAGAACCAGGATCCCTCCCCGGGATCAGACCACAGGAATCACCACCACCATCATCATCAGCAGCACTATGAACACCATGTCGCAATGAGACCCAAAGCAGTAAAGGCATCCCAAATTCCTCCCCGGAGCCGCCAACATCCCCAAAACTCTGGAGACTCTTCCTTCAGCCTCTTGGTCAAGTCGCCAGCGATTCCCGGCGCGCCCGGAACTGGGATTGTTGTCCCCCTAGTGCAGCACAGGGAGGAAGTCGGTCCCTTACTGGTTTGCCCGGGAATCGTGGGGTTCCCCAGGCTCAGGAGCTGCCGCGGATCCTCTCCATGTAGCTCCGGAGCTCCTCGGGATCCCGCAGCCCCATATCCTCACAAACCCAGCGGATGTCATCCTCGCTGGCCACCAGGATGGACTGGACGTGGGGGGCGGCCAGAGGGGGCTCCTCGGGGGCGCGGGGGGGCCCGAAGGTCACGAATTCCACCCGCTTCCTCCGGCCGCCCCCGCCCGGAGCCGCCCCTTCCTTGCGGGACACGGGCGGCTTGGGGGGAGCCCCATCCTCGGCGGAGCCCCCGCAGCCGCACCCCGCCGGCTCCTGCTCCCGGCGCTCCGGCTCCCGGCGATCCAGCTGCCGGCTCAGCTCCTCCTGGTCGGTACCCAGCCAGACCCAGTTGTGGGGCTGCGGGGCCGCGGGGGCCCCGCCCGGCTCCGGCAGCTCCTTCTGCTGGTAGCGCAGCACGAAGAAGATGCAGTTGACGAGGAAGATGAAGATGGCGAGGCAGAACACTCCCAGCAGGACGTACATCCCGATTTCCAGGTCGGTCACCCGCTCCGGGGCCTTCACCATCTCCTCCTCCTCCTCCTCCCCCTCTGCGCGGTTGTGCCCGTAACCTTCCTCCTCTTCCTCCTCCTCCGAGGAGGATCCCTGGAACTTGGTGGCCGCCGGCCCCGCTCCCGCGGGGTCCCCGCGCCCCACCGTCACCGCTTCCCGGGACATGGCCCCTTCAGCCCGCGGGAAGGGCCGGGGGCTGCCGGGGGTCGGGGGGTGTCCCACCTCGAGCCAGGCGGTGCCGGTGGCCAGTGCGGCCGTGCGCTGCCGGACGCGCCGGCACGGGTCCGGAGGGTGCAGGGCGAGCTGCAGCAGAGCCCCCCGGCCCGGCCCCTCCGCTACCACCCACGGGTGGGAAGCGGGAACCCCAGGAGACCCCCCGACGGTGGCAACGGAGCGATCCAGGGACGTCACGGTCAAGGCCACGTCGTGCCACCCATAGAGCTCCAGCGGGGCCAGCGTGCGGTCGGAGAAGGACAACCAGACGGACAGCGTGGCTTCCTGGGGGGATAACGGGCGGGATGGCAGCGGATCATGGGATTTAGGGAACGCCCAGGGACCCCGCCCAGCCTATCTCACCTGCTTAAGGGCATGCAGGGTGGGCGTCCCCAGGGCGGTGGCGGTGACCATGCCAGGGTGGTCCGAGTGTGTCCAGAGGGACAAGGAGAGCCCTGCCACCACCTGGGTACGGAGCTCTGTCACTGTCACCTTGTCCTCGGACACCACCAACGTCTGCTCCCCCAGGATGGAGTCAGAGAGAGGGGAATGCACCTGGGAGTGGAGCCGGGGGGAGCTTGTGAGACCCCTCGAACACCCCTGATTGTGTCCCTTCCCACCCCTGCCCTGGACACCCCAGTTCCCACCCTCTGGCCCTTGCATCCCGCCCTGCTCCCTCTGGGATTCCTTCCCGCCCACCAGCTCCTCCCCTCCCTCCAATCCCTGCACTCCCCTGGCTCCTCTCTGCCTTCAGGACCCCCTCCAGTCCCCTGTTTCCATCTCCCCAGTCCCAACACCCCCAAAATCCCAACCAAGGACCCTGAGACCCTCTCCAACCCTCTATCTCCATTTCTCCAGTCCCAACACCTCCAGTTTATCCCCAGGACCTCCCAAACTGCCCCCAGGACCCTCTTCAGCCCCCTATCTCCATCTCTCCAGGCCCCACACTCCCCAGGCCCCGCCTCCAGCCCCTCATTTCCCTCTTCCTGCCCCCAGGACCCCCCTCCACCCTCAAAAGCCTCCCCCCACACTGTACCTCCACGGAGGTGACCCCGGGCTCCCGGCCCACCACCACGAGCCCCCCCTCCAGCGAGGCCACCCGGGGGTCCTGCACGCGGGTCCGGGGGGCCACCAGGTGGGTGACGTCCAGGAGCCACTCAGGGCCGGGCAGGTAGGACAGGGAGCGGCCCCCGTCCAGCGGGTGGGACACGAAGTGGGCCAGGACACGGACCCCCGTCCGCTGGAACTGTGGGCGGCAGCTCCGCGCCCGCCGCTCCGGCTCCTCCAGGGCGTCCTCAGCCTCCGACGGAGAGCTGGAAGACAGGCATAGCAGGAGGGGGGGCCAGGGAGTGGGGCAGAGGTGACAGGGATCATGGAATAGGTGACAAGGATCATGGGATAGGGGACAGGGATCCTGGGATGGGGATCCTGGGGCACGGGGATAGGGATTGCAGCACAGGGGTACAGGGATCACAGGATAGGCGACAGGAATCCCAGGATGTGGGACTGTGTGGGGCCTCAGAGGAACAGGGACACATGTCTCAAGTGTCCCAGGGCTCGGAGGGATGGGAACACGTGTCACGGCTGTGTCTGGTCTCAGCCACACGTGTCACAAGCGCCTCAGGTTTCCCCCCCCTGCTCCCACCTTGCCCCTTTCCCACCATCCCGGTGACATGGGGACAGTTCTGGGCGCTCACCTGTCAAAACTGCCGGGCCTCCTCCAGCCGCGGAGCTGCTCCAGGGTGGGGTCTCCCAGCTGGACGCGCAGCGGGAGCAGCGGGGCCCACACGGAGAAGGCGAGCTCCGCGTGCAGCCGCCGTGCCCAGAAATCCACACGGGCCCCCCATGCCCCCCGGCTCTCCCGTCCCCCCACAAACACCATGTCGCAGGAATCCGACACCTGGAAAAGCACAGGGAGTGCCAGGGGAGGGGGATGCGGCCAGTGAGGCAGGGCAGGTTGCTGTGGGAATGCCGGGAGCTCACCTGCAGCACCTGTTTGTCAGCCGACTCACATCCCACAGGATCGGCCAGCTCGGACACACCGCCTCCCGCTTCCACAGCCACTAGTTTCACCGGGATAACCCGCGGGATTCCTGTCAGCGGGGCCGTGTTCAGGATCTCCAGCTCCTGGCAGGACAGCAGAGATGAGCCGGCACTCCCACGGGATGGGAGGATAGAGGGAACGGTGCCCACCTGGACCAGCGGGACGAGGGCGCAGATTTCCCGCTCTGCCACCTGGATCTCCCACACCAGTTTGTCCTTCTGGGATTCAGGATCCTGGCCGGGATACTCCACCTGCCAGGTGAGGGGCCGTGCCAGGCCCCCTGTCCCATTCTCCACAACCAGCTCCAGGTGCAGGAACGCGGCCGAGTCGGACACCCTGTGGATCCACCCCGGGATCAGGATCACCGCGACCCAGGTGGGATGGGGTAGGGTAAGGGACAGGGGGCTCCTAGGACCACACTGGGACACACTGGGATGGGGCAGTGCCACACACAGTGCCACCCCCTACCTCCCGCTGCTAGGGATGTCCCCGATCTGC